CCCCCCTCTCTTCCTCCCTCCCTGCCTTCCTCCCTCGTAACGCTGTTCCTTTTGCAGGGCTGCAGCTGTCCTTCGTGGACTGGGAGGGGGCTCGCAACCACGCGGAGCACCGCACGGGGGAGGCGGGGGGCGCGCTGCTGGTGGTCCGGCGCGGACAGCCCTTCGCCCTCACCCTCCACTTCCGCTCCAGGGCCTACCTGCCCGGCAGGGACGCCATGTACCTGGTGGCCGAGACAGGTGAGATCCTGGAATCCAGGGGGGTTGGAGTGACAGGTCCCTCCCTTGCAGGCGGAAGTATTGACAAGCATGACACCCGGCGTTCCTTGCTCGGGCTGCAATCCTCAAGAGGGAGGGGCCGGCAGGTGACTCGCAAGCCAAGAAGGGCCCGAAGCAGGTTGGGGAGTGGGACCCTGACCTCATTGGACCCCACGCTCCCCTCCCAGGGGGAGACCCCTTCAGGCCGTCTCCTGAGGCTTATTGAGGAGGGGGGCTTCCCCAGGACTGTGACCCCCTTGGTGCTAGATCAGTGGTTTCCAACCTTTTTTTGACCAGAGACCACTTTGACCAGGGCACAATTTGACCAGAGACCACTTTGACCAAGGCGCACTTTGATCAGAGACCACTTTGACCAGAGACCACTTTGACCAGGGCACACTTTGACCAGAGACCACTTTGACCAGAGACCACTTTGACCAGGGCACACTTTGACCAGAGACCACTTTGACCAGGGCACACTTTGACCAGAGACCACTTTGACCAGGGCACACTTTGACCAGAGACCACTTTGACCAGGGAACCACTTTGACCAGAGACCACTTTGACCAGGGCACACTTTGACCAGGGACCACTTTGACCAGGGCACACTTTGACCAGGGCACACTTTGACCAGAGACCACTTTGACCAGGGCACACTTTGACCAGAGACCACTTTGACCAGGGACCACTTTGACCAGAGACCACTTTGACCAGGGACCACTTTGACCAGGGACCACTTTGACCAGAGACCACTTTGACCAAGGACCACTTTGACCAGGGACCACTTTGACCAGAGACCACTTTGACCAGGGACCACTTTGACCAGAGACCACTTTGACCAGGGCACACTTTGACCAGAGACCACTTTGACCAGGAACCACTTTGACCAGAGACCACTTTGACCAGGGCACACTTTGACCAGGGACCACTTTGACCAGGGCACACTTTGACCAGGGCACACTTTGACCAGAGACCACTTTGACCAGGGCACACTTTGACCAGAGACCACTTTGACCAGGGCACACTTTGACCAGAGACCACTTTGACCAGGGCACACTTTGACCAGAGACCACTTTGACCAGGGCACACTTTGACCAGAGACCACTTTGACCAGGGACCACTTTGACCAGAGACCACTTTGACCAGGGAGCACTTTGACCAGGGACCACTTTGACCAGGGACCACTTTGACCAGGGACCACTTTGACCAGGAACCACATTGACCAGGGACCACTTTGACCAGGGACCACTTGACCAGGGGCCACCTTGACCAGGGACCACTTTGACCAGGGACCACTTGACCAGGGACCACTTTGACCAGGGACCACTTGACCAGGGACCACTTTGACCAGGGACCACTTTGACCAGGGACCACTTTGACCAGGGCACTTTGACCAGAGACCACTTTGACCAGGGTGCACTTTGACCAGAGACCACTTTGACCAGGGCACATTTGACCAGAGACCACTTTGACCAGGGTGCACTTTGACCAGAGACCACTTTGACCAGGGTGCACTTTGACCAGAGACCACTTTGACCAGGGCACATTTTGACCAGAGACCACTTTGACCAGAGACCACTTTGACCAAGGCGCACTTTGACCAGAGACCACTTTGACCAGGGCACACTTTGACCAGAGACCACTTTGACCAGAGACCACTTTGACCAGGGCACACTTTGACCAGGGCACACTTTGACCAGAGACCACTTTGACCAGGGCACACTTTGACCAGAGACCACTTTGACCAGGGCACACTTTGACCAGAGACCACTTTGACCAGGGCACAATTTGACCAGAGACCACTTTGACCAGGGTGCACTTTGACCAGAGACCACTTTGACCAGGGTGCACTTTGACCAGAGACCACTTTGACCAGGGTGCACTTTGACCAGAGACCACTTTGACCAGGGTGCACTTTGACCAGAGACCACTTTGACCAGGGTGCACTTTGACCAGAGACCACTTTGACCAGGGCACATTTTGACCAGAGACCACTTTGACCAGAGACCACTTTGACCAAGGCGCACTTTGACCAGAGACCACTTTGACCAGAGACCACTTTGACCATGGCCGCTCTCTAGCATGAGTACCAAAAGGGTTACCAATCAGTTTTTGGTCAACTTTAGATTCGGTTTAGTTATTTGGGGTGCCGATTCCGAAAATTGCATTTGATAGACCACATCAGCTCTAGTTTCTGATACAGAACACATGCCATCCAGTAGTCGCCATCTGCTCACCCACAGAAAACCATATTTCACAGAATCCTAGAGTTGGAAGAGCCCTCATGGGCCATCCTCCAGTCCAACCCCATTCTGCCAAGAAGCAGGAATATTGCATTCAAATCACCCCTGACAAATGGCCATCCAGCCTCTGCTTTAAAAGCCTCCACCACACTCCGGGGCAGAGAGTTCCACTGCTGAACGGCTTTCACAGTCAGGAAGTTCTTCCTCATGTTCAGATGGAATCTCCTCTCTTGTAGTTTGAAGCCATTGTTCCGCGTCCTAGTCTCCAGGGAAGCAGAAAACAAGCTTGCTCCCTCCTCCCTGTGGCTTCCTCTCACATATTTATACATGGCTATCTTGTCTCCTCTCAGCCTTCTCTTCTTCAGGCTAAACATGCCCAGCTCCTTAAGCCGCTCCTCATAGGGCTTGTCTCCAGAGCCTTGATCATTTTAGTCACCCTCCTCTGGTCACATTCCAGCTTAGAGTCATCATCTCCCTTCAATTGTGGTGCCCAGAACTTTACACAGTATTCCAGAACACCATTTTTGACCCTAGGTTCTCAGTGTCATTTCCCTAATTAAAAAGACATGGGAAAGGTTTATTAAACTGCCCAAAGTTTGTATTTTGTCTGAATTTTTTCATGGTCGGAATCATTGGGTTGCTGTGACTTTTCCAGGTTGTATGGCCATGTTCCAGCATCATTCTGATGTTTCACTCACTGAGGATGCCTGCCGTAGATATGGGCAGAATGTCAGGAGAGAATGCTGCTGGAACATGGCCTTACAGCCTGGAAAACTCACAGCAACCTAGATAATCTATTTAATAATCTAGAGCCGATGTGGTCTATTCAAGGGGGTGAGGATGATCAGCAACAGGGAAGGAGTGGAAGCAAAGTAAAAATATAATATAATATAATATAATATAATATAATAATATAATATAATATAATATAATATAATATAATATAATATAATATAATATAATATAATATAATATAATATAATAATATAATATAATATAATATAATATAATATAATAATAATATAATATTATAATATAATATAATATAATATAATATAATATAATATAATATAATATAATATAATATAATATAATGAAATGAAATAATAAAATAAAATATAAAAGAGGAAGGAGGCTCACAGACCAGATTTTCCTCCTTGCAACCCACTGGTGGTCTGCGGCCCACAGGTTAGGAACCACTGGACTACATCAAGGTCACCAAGGCCATGGGGGGCTTCCAAAGAAGGGCTCTATTTAATCCAGTGGTTCTCAACCTGTGTGACTCCCCAGATGTTTTGGCCTTCCAGAAATACTAACAGCTGGGACCTCTGGGAGTTGTAGCCCAATACACCTGGCAACCCACAGGTTGAGGACCACTGGTCTGCCTTTTCACCTATGAGTTTCAATGATCTGTGTATTTTAACTGTGTGGAGGAAACAATAGTCTAACAACTGGATTGCTGTGAGTTTTTGGGGTTGTGTGGCCATTGTGTTCTAGTAGTATTCTCTCCTAACATTTCGCCTGCATCTGTGGCTGGTTCTGAAGATGCCAAACCGCAAAGGAAACAATAGTCTAACAACTGGGTTGCTGTGAGTTTTTGGGGTTGTGTGGCCATTGTGTTCTAGTAGTATTCTCTCCTAACATTTCGCCTGCATCTGTGGCTGGTTCTGAAGATGCCAAACCGCAAAGGAAACAATAGTCTAACAACTGGGTTGCTGTGAGTTTTTGGGGTTGTGTGGCCATTGTGTTCTAGTAGTATTCTCTCCTAACATTTCGCCTGCATCTGTGGCTGGTTCTGAAGATGCCAAACCGCAAAGGAAACAATAGTCTAACAACTGGGTTGCTGTGAGTTTTTGGGGTTGTGTGGCCATTGTGTTCTAGTAGCATTCTCTCCTAACATTTCACCTTCATCTGTGGCTGGTTCTGAAGATGCCAAACCGCAAAGGAAACAATAGTCTAACAACTGGGTTGCTGTGAGTTTTTGGGGTTGTGTGGCCATTGTGTTCTAGTAGCATTCTCTCCTAACATTTCACCTTCATCTGTGGCTGGTTCTGAAGATGCCAAACCGCAAAGGAAACAATAGTCTAACAACTGGGTTGCTGTGAGTTTTTGGGGTTGTGTGGCCATTGTGTTCTAGTAGCATTCTCTCCTAACATTTCACCTTCATCTGTGGCTGGTTCTGAAGATGCCAAACCGCAAAGGAAACAATAGTCTAACAACTGGGTTGCTGTGAGTTTTTGGGGTTGTGTGGCCATTGTGTTCTAGTAGCATTCTCTCCTAACATTTCACCTGCATCTGTGGCTGGTTCTGAAGATGCCAAGCTGCAGTTGCATCTTGTGTCTTAGCAACTTTTCCCTGTGATTATTTATTTTGGGAGGTCTTGACCAGGGAGGTCCAGGTGCCGTTCTGATTTCCACTCTGATCTATACCAGGCCTGGGCCAACTTGGGCCCTCCCTCCAGGTGTTTTGGACTCCAACTCCCACCATTCCTCACAGCCTCAAGCCCTTTCCTTTCCCACTGTGTGTTTGTTTTGAAGGCTAGGCTAGGTACTGAAGCTCATTCCCTCTACTGCTGGCATGAGAACAGGAATGGCAAACTTGGGACTCCTTCCAGGTGTTTTGGACTTCAACTCCCACCATTCCTAATAGCCTCAAGCCCTTTCCTTTCCACCCCGTGTGCTTGTTTTGAAGTCTAGGCTAGGTACTTCAGCCAGCAGCAACTGTAATTGCTGAAGCTCATTCACTCTCCTGCTGGCATGAGAACAGGCATGGGCCAACTTTGGCCCTCCCTCCAGGTGTTTGAACTCCAACTCCCACCATTCCTAATAGATTCAGGCCCTTTCCTTTCTACCCCTGTGTGTTTGTTTTGAAGGCTAGGCTAGTTACTTCAGCCAGCAGGATTGCTGAAGGTCATTCCCTCTACTGCTGGGATGAGAGCAGGCATGGGACAACTTGGGACCTCCTTCCAGGTGTTTTGGACTCCAACTCCCACCATTCCTAACAGCCCCAAGCTCTTTCCTCCCCCTTCCCCTCCCCATGTTTGTTTTGAAGGCAAGGCTAGGTACTTCAGCCAGCAGCAACTGTCTTTGCTGAAGCTCATTCACCCTACTGCTGACACTAGAACAGGTATGAGCAAACTTGGGCCCTCCTTCCAGGTGTTTTGGACTTCAACTCCCACCATTCCTAACAGCCCCAGACCCTTTCCTTTCCACTCTGTGTGCTTGTTTTGAAGGCTAGGCTAGGTACTTCAGCCAGCAGCAGCTGTAATTGCTGAAGCTCATTCCCTCTACTGCTGGCATGAGAACAGGAATGGCAAACTTGGGACTCCTTCCAGGTGTTTTGGACTTCAACTCCCACCATTCCTAACAGCCCCAGACCCTTTCCTTTCCACTCTGTGTGCTTGTTTTGAAGTCTAGGCTAGGTACTTCAGCCAGCAGCAACTGTAATTGCTGAAGCTCATTCTCTCCACTGCTGGCATGAGAACAGGAATGGGCCAACTTGGACCTTCTCTCCAGGTGTTTTGGACTTCAACTCCCACCATTCCTCACGGCCTCAGGCCCCTTCCTTTTCCCCCTCAACCGCTTAAACAGCCCATAGGAAGGGGCCTGAGGCTGTGAGGAATGGTGGGAGTTGAAGTCCAAAACACCTGGAGAGAAGGCCCAAGTTCACCCAGGTCAGTTCTAGCTCCTGATTTTGTTTTGCCAGGCCCTTCACCGGACCCGGAGAGTGGCACGCGGGCGGTCTTCCTGGTGGGCTTGGGCCAGCGAGACCCCCGCTGTGTGTGGCGTGGGGCCTTCCTGCGCAGCGTGGGCCCCCACTCCACAGAGGTGTCTGTCTCGGCCCCTGCGGAGGCCCCAGTGGGGCGCTACACACTCAAGATCCGCCTCGATGCCGAGGGAGGCTCCTCTTCTTACAGGCTGGGCGAGTTCGTCCTCCTCTTCAACGCCTGGTGCCCAGGTGAGTGGAAGAAAGGCTGGGCAGGTGGGCAAATGGGACCAGGGGAGGGCCACTCAGTGAGTGACCCTCTATACTTCCCTGTTACTTAGAGGATGAGGTCTACCTGGGCAATGAGGAGCAGCGGAGGGAGTTCGTCCTGGAGGAGGAGGGCATCATCTTCCAAGGAAACAAGAACTGGCTCGACCCTACACCTTGGCACTTTGGACAGGTGAGTCACGAATTCATAGACTCATAGAATCCTAGAGTTGGAAGAGACCTCGTGGGCCATCCAGTCCAACCCCATTCTGCCAAGAAGCAGGACGATCACCTTCAAAGCACCCCCGACAGATGGCCATCCAGCCTTAGTTTAAAAGCCTCCATAGAAGGAGTCCATTGGCTTGACAGGGCATCTGTCAGGAAGGTTTGAATTTTGTCTTCCTGCCTGCGGAACTGAATGACCCCCAGAGTCCTCACCATAGAATTCTAGAGTTGGAAGAGACCTGGTGGGCAATCAAGTCCAACCACCATTCTGCCAAGAAGCAGGAAAATAGAATTCCAAGCCCCCCACCCCCCCCCCCCCGACAGATGGCCATCTAGCCTCTGTTTAAAAGCCTCCAAAGAAGGAACCTCCACCACACTCCCACCGGGGCAGAGAGTTCCACTGCTGAACAACTCTGTCTCACAGTCAGTTCTTCCTCGTGTTCAGGTGGAATCTCCTTCCTTTCCTGTAGTTTGAAGCCACTCCTCCCTCGCATCCTAGTCTCCAGGGCAGCAGAAAACAAACCTGCTCCTTCCTCCCTAGGATTTCCTCTCACATATGTATACATGGGCCTCGTCATGTCTCCTCTCAGCTAACAATAGCAATGGCGCTCCATGCAGTCATGCTGGCCACATGACCTTGGAGGATCTTTGGCTTCGAAATGGAGATGAGCACCACTCACCAGAGTCAGACACGACTGGACTTAATGTCAGGGGACAAAAACATAGCTGCAAATATCCATGCAGCTACATTTTGCCTAGAGAAAGGCAAAATGCGTTCTCACTGTAAGGAAGACAAAGGCAAAGAGAGAGAGAGAGAGAGCAACAATGGAGAATGACCACATGGCCAACAAGCCAGGGCACTAAGATACCTTTAAAGAGGAAGTTACGCAAAAGTATACATGCAGCTACATTTTGCCTGGAAAAAGGCAAAATGCATCCTCACTGTAAGGAAGACAAAGGCAGAGAGAGAGAGAGAGAGAGAGAGAGAGAGAGCAACAATGGAGAATGACCACATGGCCAACAAGCCAGGGCACTAAGATACCTTTAAAGAGGAAGTTACGCAAAAGTATACATGCAGCTACATTTTGCCTGGAAAAAGGCAAAATGCGTCCTCACTGTAAGGAAGACAAAGGCAAGAGAGAGAGAGAGAGAGCAACAATGGAGAATGACCACATGGCCAACAAGCCAGGGCACTAAGATACCTTTAAAGAGGAAGTTACGCAAAAGTATACATGCAGCTACATTTTGCCTGGAAAAAGGCAAAATGCATCCTCACTGTAAGGAAGACAAAGGCAAAGAGAGAGAGCAACAATGGGGAATGACCACATGACCAACAAGCCAGGGCACTAAAAATACTTTTAAAGAGGAAGTTACCTCATCCCTTTACAGAGAGAGAGTCCATTGCTACATCTTCTTGGAGCTCACTAGTTTACTAAGCTCTCTTCTAAGGAAGGTAAAAAGGATAGACTCATAGAATCCTAGAGTTGGAAGAGACCTCATGGGCCATCCAGTCCAACCCCATTCTGCCAAAAAGCAGGAAAATTGCATTCAAAGAACCCCCGACAGATGGCCATCCAGGCTCTGTTTAAAAGCTTCCAAAGAAGGAGCCTCCATCACACTCCAGGGCGGAGAGTTCCACTGCTGAACAGCTCTCACAGTCAGGAAGTTTCTCATGTTCAGATGGAATCTCCTTTCTGGGCACCACAATTGAAGAGAGATGTTGACAAGCTGGAATGTGTCCAGAGGAGGGTGACTCAAATGATCAAGGGTCTGGAGAACAAGCTCTATGAGGAGCAGCTTAAGGAGCTGGGCATGTTTGGCCTGCAGAAGAGAAGGCTGAGAGGAGATATGATAGCCATGTATAAATATGTGAGAGGAAGCCACAGGGAGGAGGGTGAAAGCTTGTTTTCTGCTTCCTTGGAGACTAGGACGCGGAACAATGGCTTCAAACTACAAGAGAGGAGATTCCATCTGGACATGAGGAAGAACTTCCTGGCTGTGAGAGCCGTTCAACAGTGGAACTCTCTGCCCCGTAGTGTGGTGGAGGCTCCTTCTTTGGAGGCTTTGAAACAGAGGCTGGATGGCCAGCTGTCAGGGGTGCTTTGAATGCAATATTCCTGCTTCTTGGCAGAATGGGGTTGGACTAGATGGCCCAGGAGGTCTCTTCCAACTCTAGGATTCTAGGATTCTATGATTCTATGATACTGCCCAAACTTCGTGTTGTCAAAGGCTTTCATGGTCAGAATCATTGGGTTGCTGTGCGTTTTCCGGGCTGTATGGCCATGTTCCAGCAGCATTTTGACATTCTGCCCATCGAGGGTGCCTGCCATAGATGTGGGCAAAACATCAGGAGAGAATGCTGCTGGAATGAAGCCTTACAGCCCAGAAAACTCACAACCCAGAGATTGTGAGGTCTGTTGGAAACTAGACAAGTGAGGTTTATATATCTTTAGAATGATGTCCAGAGTGAGAAAAAGAACTCTCTGTTGGAGGCAAGTGTGAATGTTGCCATTGGACACCTTGATTTGCAGGCAGGAAGCAGCCAGGCTTTGAAGCTGCAAGGCTATACAATGGTAATCAAGGTGTCCACACTTGCCTCAAACACACAAGTTCTTTCTCCCATTCTGGATATCATTCCAAAGATATATAAACCCCACTTGCCTGGTTGCCATGAGACTCCTCAACCTTTGAGGATGCTTGCCATAGATGTGGGCGAAAGGTCAGGAGAGAATGCTTCTGGAACATGCCCAAACTTTGTCTCTGTCGGAGGGAGGGACATCCTGCAGCAGCAGCATATTTTGCAGTAATTTTCAATGAATATTGATCTCATCAGGGAGTCTCAACCCATCCAACCTACTTTTGTGGCAGGAGTCGAACTACTACTTTCCAAGTAATGACCTCACAATTAAACAGGAAATAACACTTTCAAATCAGGAACATAATTTATTTCAAATGATTATAATGATAATGATGGTGGTGGTGGTGATAATATAATAATAATAATACAATGCCGTGTTATTATGATTATTACCATAATAATAATTATCATCATTATTATTTCACTTTCTTCCTCGCTTCTTCTCACACCAGAAGCGACTTGCAGTTTCTCAAGTCACTCCTGACACAAAATACAATTAATAGAATTTGACATTTCATACTATAGCATGTAATTATTAAGATATATTTATTTTAATGTATTTATTTATGACATTTATATGCCGCCCTTCTAACTCAAAGGGGACTCAGATATATTATTATTATATTATATTATATATTTATAAATATATAAATATAAATATTATATATATATATATATATATATATATATATATATATATATATAATATTGATATGATATGATATGATATTACTATTGGGACTCAGATATATTTTTTATATTATATATATATGATATATTTATAAATATATAAATAATTATATTATACATATATATATAATATATATATTATATTATTAGCATAGTACAATATCAGTATTATATATTACTGTATTGTACTGTACCATTATATTGTAATATTATTAGTAATATTACATAATATAAAATATATAATTATAATATCATTTTATTCATAGTAGTAGTATATTGTATTATATTATAACATTATCAATATTATATGGATATACAATATATTATATTATATTATAGGCATTGTACTATAACATTATACCGTAATATTATTAGTAATATTACATTTAATATAATATATATGTATATATTATTATAATATCATTTTATTATTAGTAGTAGTATATTGTATTACATTATAACATTATCAATATTATATGGATATACAATATATTATATTATATTATATGCATTGTACTATAACATTATACCGTAATATTATTAGTAATATTACATTTAATATAATATATATGTATATATTATTATAATATCATTTTATTATTAGTAGTAGTATATTGTATTATATTATAACATTATCAATATTATATGGATATACAATATATTATATTATATTATAGGCATTGTACTATAACATTATACCGTAATATTATTAGTAATATTACATTTAATATAATATATATGTATATATTATTATAATATCATTTTATTATTAGTAGTAGTATATTGTATTACATTATAACATTATCAATATTATATGGATATACAATATATTATATTATATTATATGCATTGTACTATAACATTATACCGTAATATTATTAGTAATATTACATTTAATATAATATATATGTATATATTATTATAATATCATTTTATTATTAGTAGTAGTATATTGTATTATATTATAACATTATCAATATTATATGGATATACAATATATTATATTATATTATAGGCATTGTACTATAACATTATACCGTAATATTATTAGTAATATTACATTTAATATAATATATATGTATATATTATTATAATATCATTTTATTATTAGTAGTAGTATATTGTATTACATTATAACATTATCAATATTATATGGATATACAATATATTATATTATATTATAGGCATTGTACTATAACATTATACCGTAATATTATTAGTAATATTACATTTAATATAATATATATGTATATATTATTATAATATCATTTTATTATTAGTAGTAGTATATTGTATTACATTATAACATTATCAATATTATATGGATATACAATATATTATATTATATTATAGGCATTGTACTATAACATTATACCGTAATATTATTAGTAATATTACATTTAATATAATATATATGTATATATAATTATAATATCATTTTATTAGTAGTAGTAGTATATTGTATTACATTATAACATTATCAATATTATATGGATATACAATATATTATATTATATTATATGCATTGTACTATAACATTATACCGTAATATTATTAGTAATATTACATTTAATATAAAATATATGTATATATAATTATAATATCATTTTATTAGTAGTAGTAGTATATTGTATTACATTATAACATTATCAATATTATATGGATATACAATATATTATATTATATTATAGGCATTGTACTATAACATTATTCTGTAATATTATTAGTACTATTACATTTAATATAAAAAATATATAATTATGAAATAATTTTATTAGTAGTAGTAGTATATTGGGCTGAGAATTGCGGTATATAAGCGCAGTAAATAAATAATAAATAAATAACATTATAACATTATCAATATTGTCAAAGGCTTTCATGGCTGGAATCACTAGGTTCTTGTGGATTTTTTCGGGCTATATGGCCATGTTTTAGAGGCATTCTCTCCTGACGTTTCGCCTGTATCTATGGCAAGCATCCTCAGGGTAGTGAGGTCTGTTGGAACTAGGAAAATGGGTTTATATATCTGTGGAATAATGACCAGGGTGGGACAAAGGACTCTTGTCTGCTGGAGCTAGGTGGGAATGTTTCAACTGACCAACTTGATTAGCAAGGTTCTTGTGGGTTTTTTCGGGCTATAGAGCCATGTTCTAGAGGCATTTCTCCTGACGTTTCGCCTGCATCTATGGCAAGCATCCTCAGAGTTGAGGTCTAACCAACTCTGAGGATGCTTGCCATAGATGCAGGCGAAACGTCAGGAGAAATGCCTCTAGAACATGGCTCTATAGCCCGAAAAAACCCACAAGAACCTAGTGATTCCAGCCATGAAAGCCTTCGACAATAACTTGATTAGCATTTGATGGCCTGACAGTGCCTGGGGGAATCTTTTGTTGAGAGGTGATTAGATGTCCTTGTTTGTTTCCTCTCTGTTATTGTGCTGTTGTAATTTTAGAGTTTTTTAATACTGGTAGCCAGATTTTGTTCATTTTCATGGTTTCCTCCTTTCTGTTGAAATTGTCCACATGCTTCTTGTGGATTTCAATGGCTTCTCTGTGTAGCCTGACATGGTGGTTGTTGGAGTGGTCCAGCATTTCTGTGTTCTCAAATAATATGCTGTGTCCAGGCTGGTTCATCAGGTGCTCTGCTAGGGCTGACTTCTCTGGTTGAAGTAGTCTGCAGTGCCTTTCAGGTTCCTGGATTCCTTGATTATCAATATTATATGGATATACAATATATTATATTATATTATATTATATTATATTATAATATAATATAATATAATATAATATAATATAATATAATATAATATAATATAATATTATATTATATTATATTATATTATATCATATTACATTACATTAAGGTAAAGGTAGTCCCCTGACATTAAGTCCAGTCATGTCTGACTCTGGGGTGTGGTGCTCATCTCCATTTCTAAGCCGAAGAGCCAGCGCTGTCCGTAGACACCTCCAAGGTCATGTGGCCGGCATGACTGCATGGAGCGCCGTTACCTTCCCGCCGGAGCGGTACCTATTGATCTACTCACATTTGCATGTTTTCGAACTGCTAGGTTGGCAGTTACATTACATTACATTACATTATATTATATACACAGTGCAGGAGACAAGATGGAACTGCCTTCTTGGCCCTCTGTTCACTCTGATCATCATAATTAGGCACTCCCCCCTCCCCACCCCCATGATGCTAGACCAATAGGAGCCTGCCAGCCCCCCCCCCCTCCACCAATCCCAGGTGGTGCAATGGGTTAAACCCTTGTGCCGGCAGGACTGCTGACCGAAAGGTCAGGGTTCCAATCTGGGGGATGCCTTGAGCTCCAGTCTGTCAGCTCCAGCTTCCCATGCGGGGTCATGAGAGAAGCCTCTCAGAGGATGATAACACATCCAGGTGTCCTTGCAGAAAAGAAAACTGTCTATTGGGGAACCCCCCCCCCCAAATAGACAGTTTTCTTTTTTGTACTAACAATACAAAAGCCTACACCATGTAAATATTAGAATACAGAGCTATATCCATGTCTCTCCTCCCAAATAAATAAGGAAGGAAGGAAGGCAAGCCGGGCAAGCCTGGCGGTGGGGCGGGCGGGGCTTTCCGGCCCATTTCTGCCCGGATTCCTCCATGCCTAATGGCGGGCGTTCTTGGGGAGGCGCCCCAAAATATTATGCTGCTGAGCCGCCGGGAAAGGGCGAGCACGCATACATCTGCATGCATCTGCATACATCTGCATGCATTTGCATAAAGCCAGCAGGCAGCGCCGGAAGGGAAGGGAAGGGAAGGGAAGGGAAGGGAAGGGAGGGGCGCCTAGGAGTGGATGTGGGGCAGGCCGAGGGGGAGGGGGGATCCCCAAAAGAGGGGGTGGCTTCCCTTTTGCCCCCTTCCCGACAATTAGGAAGAACTAGGTTCTTGTGGGTTTTTCCGGGCTGTATGGCCATGTTCCAGAGGCATTTTCTCCTGACATTTCGCCTGCATCTATGGCAAGCATCCTCAGAGGGTAGTGAGGTCTGTTGGAACTAGGAAAAAGGGGTTATATATCTGTGTTGGAAGCTTCCAAAAGCTTCTTTGGAAGCTTTTAAACAGAGGCTGGATGGCCATCTGTCAGGGGTGATTTGAATGCAATATTCCTGCTTCTTGGCAGAATGGGGTTGGACTGGATGGCCCAGGAGGTCTCTTCCAAATCTATGATTCTATGGTTCTATGAAAGGACTCTTGTCTGCTGGAGCTAGGTGTGAATGTTTCATTTGATGGCCTGGCAGTGCCTGGGAGAATATTTTGTTGAGAGGTTATTAGATGTGCCGGATTGTTTCCTCTCTGTTGTTGTGCACATCAGGCACATCTATCACCTCTCAACAAAAGATCGCCCCAGGCACTGCCAGGCCATCAAATGCTAATCAAGGTGGTCAGTTGAAACATTCACACCTAGCTCCAGCAGACAAGAGTCCTTTGTCCCACCCTGGTCATTCCACAGATATATAAACCCATTTTCCTAGTTCCAACAGACCTCACTACCTCTGAGGATGCTTGCCATAGATGCAGGCAAAACGTTAGGAGAGAATGCCACTAGGACATGGCCATATAACCCGAAAAAACCTACAACAACCCACCTATGGGCCCACCGCCAGGATACTGACTCTGGAAGACTATCCTATTGGGAAAATAATGGTTGAGCATGGAGGTCACCTATGTTTCTTGTCCTTTGTTGTCCACCTGCACCTTGTGGTCGTGGCCTTGGGAGAGTCCAATCCATGGCTTCCTTCCTTCCTTCCTTCCTCTCCTTCCTTCCTTCCTTCCTTCCTTCCTTCCTTCCTTCCTTCCTTCCTTCCTTCCCTCCCTCCCTCCCTTCTTCTTTCCTTCCTTCCTTCCTCCATCCATCTCACCATTTTGTCCTTCCTTCCTTCTTTCCTCCTTCCTTCCTTCCTTCCTTCCTTCCTTCCTTCCTTCCTTCCTTCCTTCCCTCCTCCCTCCCTCCCTCCCTCCCTCCTTCCTTCCCTCCCTCCTTCCTTCCTTCCTTCCTTCCTTCCTTCCTTGGTGCCCAGTTCGAGGAGGGCATCCTGGGCATCTGCCTGAAAGTGTTGGACCGGAGCCTCAACTCCTTGAAGGACCCGGCCGAGGACGCCGCCTTCCGCCGCTCCGCCGTCTACGTCAGCCGCGTCCTCAGCGCCATGGTCAGTCCGTCAGTGGGGTGGCGTGGGGGGTGGCGTGGGGGGTTTGGAGGGTCTCCCACCCGCCCCTATGCTCTCTCTTTCTCTATCTACTCCTGGCAGATCAACAGCGACGACGACGGCGGGGTGGTGCTGGGCAACTGGAGCGAGGACTACACGCAGGGCACGCGGCCCTCGGCCTGGACCGGGAGCGTGGCCATCCTCCGCGAGTGGGCGCGCGCCGGGGGGAGGCCCGTCCGCTACGGACAGTGCTGGGTCTTCGCCGGAGTCCTCTGCACAGGTGGGGAAGGGAAGGGGAAGGGGAATGGGAATGAGGGAGGGTCTAGATGGCCTCAGGGGCGCCCACTTCCCCCAAACACCCTGGGACCCTCCTCCCAACAAACAGCAAATGCTGGTCTCCTCCGGCGTCCTTCCTTTTCTCTTTTCCTTTTCTCTTTCTTTCCTCCTTCTTTCCTTCCACCCTTCCCTTCCACACTTTCCTCATTCCTTCCCTCTCTCCTCTTTCTCCTTCCTTCATTCCCTTTTGTCTTTTCTGTCTTTTCCTATTTCCTCCCTCCTTCCCCCCTCTCTTTCTCATTCTCTTCCCCCTTTCGTCCTTCCTTCCTTCTCTCTTTCCTTCCTCCTTCCCTCCCTCTTTCTGCCTCCCTCCATTCCCTTTCTCTGTTTCTTCCTTCCTTCTCTCTTTCTTTCCTCCCCTTCCCTTCCACACTTTCCTCATTCCTTCCCTCTCTCCTCTTTCTCCTTCCTTCATTCCCTTTTGTCTTTTCTGTCTTCTCCTATTTCCTCCCTCCTTCCCCCCTCTCTTTCTCATTCTCTTCACCCTTTCGTCCTTCCTTCCTTCTCTCTTTCCTTCCTCCTTCCCTCCCTCTTTCTGCCTCCCTCCATTCCCTTTCTCTGTTTCTTCCTTCCTTCTCTCTTTCTTCCTTCCTTCCTTCCTTCCTTCCTTCCTTCCATCCTTCCCTTCCACACTTTCCTCATTCCTTCCCTCTCTCCTTTTTATCCTCCCTTCATTCCCTTTTGTCCTTCCTTCCCTTTTGTCTTTTCTGTCTTTTCCTATTTCCTCCCTCTTTCCCTCTCTCTCTTTCTCCTTCCCTTCCTCCCTTTCATCCTTCCTTCCTTCCTTCTCTCTTTCTTTCCGCCTTCCTTCCTTCCCTCCTTCCTTCCCTTCCATACTTTCCTCATTTCTTCCCTCTCTCCTCTTTATCCTCCCTTCATTCCCTTTTGTCCTTCCTTCCCTTTTGTCTTTTCTGTGTTTTCCTATTTCCTCCCTCTTTCCCTCCCTCTCTCTCTTTCTCCTTCCCTTTCTCTTCCTTCTTCTCTCTTTCCTTCCTCCTCCTCCCTCTTTCTCCCTCCCTCCATTCCCTTCTTCCTTTATCCTTTCTTTCCTCCTTCCATCCTTCCCTTCCACGCTTCCATCACTCCTTCCCTCTCTCCTCTTTCTCCTTCCTTACTTCCCTTTTGTCTTCTCTGTCTTTTCCTATTTCCTCCCTCCTTCCCTCTCTCCCTCTTTCTCCTTCTCTCCCTCTCTTTCGTCCTTCCTTCCTTCCTTCTCTCTTTCTTTCCTCCTTCCTTCCCTTCCACATTTTCGTCATTCCTTCCCTCTCTCCCTCTTCCTCCTTCCTTCATTCCCTTTTGTCTTTCCTTCCTTCTCTCTTTCCTCCCTCCCTCTTTCTCTCTCCATTCCCTTCCTCCCTTTTGTCTTTTCCATCTTTTCCTATTTCCTCCCCCCTCCTTCATTCTCCTTCCCTTCCGCCATTTCCTCTTTCCTTCCTTCCTCTCTTTCCTTCCTCCTTCCCTCCTTTCCCTCCCTCTTTCTCCCCCCTCCATTCCCTTTCTCCCTTTTGTCCTTGCTTCCTTCTCTCTTTCTTTCCTCCTTCCTACGTTCCATCCTTCCCTTCCAAACTTCGTCATTCCTTTCCTCTCTCCCTCTTTCTCTTCCACCCTTTCCTCCTTCCTTCCTCTCTTTCCTTCTTCCTTCCCTTCCTTCTCTCCCTCTTTCTCCCTCTCTCCATTTCGTCCTTCCTTCCTTCTCTTTTTCTTTTTTTCTTCCTTCCTTCCATCTATCCCTTCCACGCTTTCGTCATTCCTTTCCTCTCTCCCTCTTTCTCCTTCCACCCTTTCCTCTTCCTTCCTTCTCTTTCCTCCCTCTTTCTCCTCCCTCCATTCCCTTTCTTCCTTCCCTCCTTCCCTTCCATACTTTCCTAACTCCTTTCCTCTCTCCCTCTTTCTCCTTCCTTCATTCCCTTTTGTCTTCCCTTCCTTCTCTCTTTGCTCCCTCCCTCTTTCTCTCTTCATTCTCTCCCTCCCTTTGTCCTTCCTCCTTCCCTTTTGTTTTTTCCGTCATTTCCTATTTCCTCCCTCCTTTCCCCCCTATCTCTTTCTCCTTCCCTTCCTCCCTTTCCTCCCCTTTCCTTCCTTCTCTTCCCTTCTTCCCTTCCTTCCTTCCTTCCTTCCTTCCTTCCATCACCAGGAAGCCAGTCCTGCTAGCATGTGGCCGCCAAGTTAGAAAGTTTGCCCAGGCCTGGTCTAGATGGCCTCAGGGGTGCCCACTTCTCCTTTATTCTGCCAGGCAGGAATACACAGTCAAAGAACCCCTGACAGGTGGCCACCCAACCTCTGCTTGAAAGCCTCAAAATTATTATTATTATTATTATTATTATTATTATTATTATTATTATATTTATCTATTTATCTCTCCCGAAGGAGACTCAAAGCTGAACAGCTCTTCGCATCAGGAAGTGGGAAAGGAAGGGACTATACTGGGGGAGGAAATGTCTAGGTGGTCTCGGGGTGCCCACTGCCCACACACCCTGGGACCCTCCCCCGACAGCAGCGGATGGAAGGAAGAGGGAAGAAGGACATCTGTCGGGGGTGCCTTCCTGCATTTTCAAAGGGGGTTGGACTAGATGGCCTTTAGAGGTCCCTTTCAGACTATGATCCCTGTTGACCTCCTGAGGGGCGGGAAGGGGAGGAAGGACATCTGTGGGGGGTGCTTCGGGGGTGCCTTCCTTCACTGTCGACTGGATGGCCTTTGGAGGTCCCTTCCAACCTAGACTTCCATGAAAAGCGGGGCTCCCTTCTCCCCCTCCTCCTCCTCCTCTTCCTCCGTAGTGATGCGCTGCCTGGGGGTGCCCACCCGCGTGGTGACCAACTTCGAGTCCGGCCACGAGAAGGACGGCAACCTGGTCATCGACGTCTGCTACGACGAGAAGGGCCGCCTCATGGAGAGCAGGGACACCGACTGCATCTGGTGGGTGGGCGGGAGGGTGGGTGGATGGCCATCTGTCGGGGGGGGGGGGGGCTCGGCGGGGGGGGGTTGGGATGGATGGACTTTGGGCGCCCCTTCCCACGCCAAGGTCGGGCCTCCCTATCAAAGGTGACCCCGCTCCTCTCCTTCGGGGTCCCTCCCTTCCTTCTTTGCTTCCTTCTTTCTTCCCTCATTACTGCCTTTTCTCTCTCTTTCCTTCCTTCTCTTTCTTTCTCCCTTCCTTTCCCATCCTTCCTTACTTTTCCTCCTCCCTCCCTCCCTCCCTCCTTCCCTTATTCCTTCTCTTTCGTTCTCCCTTTCCTTCTCTTCCTTCCTTCCTTCTCTCATTAATTCCTTTTCTCTTTTCTTCCTTCCTTTTCCTCTTCCATCCTTCTTTCTCTCCTTCCGTTTTTCCTTCTCTCCTTCTTTGCTTTTTTCTTTTCTTCTCTCCTTCCTTCCTTCTCCTTCTTCCTTCCTCCTGCCTACCCTTATTCCTTCTCTTCCTTCCTTCCTTTTTCTTCTTCCATCCTTCCTTCTCTCCTTCTGTTTTTCCTTCTCTCCTTCTTTGCTTTTTTCTTTTCTTCTCTCCTTCCTTCCTTCTCCTTCTTCCTTCCTCCTGCCTACCCTTATTCCTTCTCTTCCTTCCTTCCTTTTTCTTCTTCCATCCTTCCTTCTCTCCTTCTGTTTTTCCTTCTCTCCTTCTTTGCTTTTTTCTTTTCTTCTCTCCTTCCTTCCTTTCCTTCTTCCTTCCCCTTCCTCTTCCTTCCTTCCTTTTCTATCCTTTCTTACTCTTCCTTCCTTCCTTCCTTCTTCTTCCTTCCTCCTTCCCTTATTGCTTCCTCTTTCCTTCTCCTTCTTTCTTCATTTTTCTTCTTCCATCCTTCCTTCTCTCCTTCCGTTTTCCCTGCTCTCCTTCTTTGCTTCTTCCTTCCTTCTTTCCTTCTCTCCCTTTTCCTTCTTCCTTCCCCTATCTTTTCCATCCTCCCTTACTTTCCCTTCTCTTCTTCCTTCCTTCTTCCTCTTCTTCCTTCCTTTCCTCCTTCCTTCCATCCTTCTTTCCTTCCTTCTTTCCTACCTTTCTTCCTTCCTATTCCCTCCTTCCTACCTTTTCCTTCTTCCTGCCTTTCTTTCTCACTTCCTTCCTCGCTTCCTTCTTTCCTCCTTACTTTTCTCCCTCACTTCCTTGCTTTTATACTTGCTTCCTTCTTTCCTCTCTGCCTTCCTTTCTCACTTCCTTCCTTGCTTCCTTCCTTCTTACCTTCCATCCTTCTTTCCTCACTTCCTTCTTTCCTTCCTACTTTCCTCTTCCTTCCTCCCTCCTCCCTCCCTTTTCTTTCCTTTTCCTTCCTTTCCTTCCTTTTCCTTCCTCCTCAGGAACTTCCACGTGTGGAACGAGTGCTGGATGGCGCGGAAGGACCTCCCTCCGGGCTACGGGGGCTGGCAGGTGGTGGACTCCACCCCGCAGGAGCGCAGCAAAGGTGAGTCCCTCCCCCCTGGCCCCCTCCCCCCTCCCGTCGTGGGTGTGGGCGTGGCCTCACCCCCCTTTTCTCCCCCTCCCCCCCCCCCCATTTAGGTCTGTTCTGCTGCGGTCCGGCCTCGGTGCGTGCGGTGCGGGAGGGGGAGCTGTCCTTGCCCTTCGACACGCCCTTCGTCTTCTCCATGGTCAACGCGGACCGCGTGGTGTGGATGCTCCACGGCGCCCACCGCGAGCGCATCCAGGTGGACACCGGCGCCGTCGGGCTCCGCATCTGCACCAAGGCCCTCGGCTCCGACGCCGACCAGGACATCACCGCCGCCTACAAGCCCAAGGAAGGTCAGCCCCACGCAGGTCCCACGCCTCCCACGCACCCACGCACGCCCTCCCGCCCCCCAGCAGCATCCTCTCCTGACGTTTCGCCCGCCTCTGTGGCAGGCCTCCTCAGAGGTTGGTTGAGAGGTCTCTTGGAAATGCGGCAAGTGGAGTGTCTCCGTGGAAGAATGCCCCGCGTGGGGAAGGGGCTCCTCCATGCTATCCAAGCTTGCCAACTGCAACATTCAACCTGGCTTCAAGCAGACAAGGGTTCTAGGCAGTGTCCAGGGTGGGAAGCAAGTGAGAATGTTGCCATTGGCGAGCTTGGATACCATTGCGTAGCCATGATATATACCCACAGATATATATATATATGCTCCACTTGTGTCACAACCTCTGAAGATGCCGGCCACAGGTGCAGGTGAAATGTCAGGAGAGAATGCTGCTGGGACATGTCCACTGGGCATGTGCAATCCGTGGTTCTAAATTCTGTTTTGCCTGCATCTGTGGCTGATGGCATCCTCAGAGGTTCTGCTGGATATGAGGCAAGTGGAGTGTATATATACCTGTGGAATAGTGTCCAGGGTGGGAGAAAGAACACTTATTTGTTGGAAGCAAATGTGAATGTTGCAATTGGCAAGCTTGGATAGCATAGAGTAGCCATGTAGCTGCAAAGCCAGTCAGTGAAGGTATCTGCATAGAGGCAGCTTGGCCGCTGTTGCCTGGAGGCATCCTCTGTTTGGCCCTTGATGCTTTGCTGTCTGGATTTTTCTTGTTTCTGAGTGGTGTTCATTATTTATTGTCTTGATTCTGGTGTTTTTTAATGCCGGAAACCAGATTTTCTTCATTTTCATAGTTTCCTCCTTTCTGTTTTGCTAATTGCAACATTCACACTGGCTTCAAACAGACAAGGGTTCTTTCTCCCAACCTGGATATTATTCTATAGGTATATATACACTTAGGAGCCCCCAGCGGCACAGCCGGTTAAAGCACTGAGCTACTGAGCTTGTTGACTGAAAGGTCGCAGGTTCAATTCTGGGGAGCGGCATGAGCTTCTGCTGTCAGCCCCAGCTTCTGCCAACCTAGCAGTTCGAAAACATGCAAATGTGAGTAGATCAATAGGTACCGCTCTGGCAGGAAGGTAATGGTGTTCCATGCAGTCATGCCGGCCACATGACCTTGGAGATGTCTACAGACAACGCTGGTTCTTCGGCTTAGAAATGGAGATGAGCACCACACCCCAGAGTCGGACACGACTGGACTTAATGTCAGGGGAAAACCTTTACCTTACCTATATACACACTCCTCTTGCCTCATTTCCAACAGACCTCTGAAGATGCCATTAGCCACAGATGCAGGTGAAACGTCAGGAGAGAGTGCTGCTGGGTCATGGCAAGGCAGCCCAAAAAACTCACAAACGCATCTTCTCCATTAAATGTTCTGAGAACTAAAAAGGCTTCAAACCTGGAACGTAGATCCTAATTGAGTGCTCGAAGAGGACCCACACAGGGCTTTGGAAGGGGTGGCTGTGGCTTTAAGACCTTCTGCCCTTCCTTCCTTCCTTCCTTCCTTCCTTCCTTCCTTCCTTCCTTCCTTCCTTCCTTCCTTCCTTTTTTCCTTCTTTCTCCCCGCAGGCTCCAAGGAGGAGCGCGCTGTCTTCGAGAAGGCCGTCTGGCGGAAGCGGCACCTGGAAGACAAGAAAGAGAGAAAAGAGGAGGAGAAAAGGGATGAAGTTGACCGTCCGGGCCGGCCTCCTCGTAGGGCACTCCACGAGCGGCGCGCAAGAAGCTTGTCCCGGGGTCCGGCGCCCCGCCCAGAGCCCCTGCCCACCCCCTCCGTCTCCAAGGCCGCAACGGCGCTGCACCTGCGCTTGGCCCAGAGCCCCCAGGTCGGGCAGGATGTGGAGCTGAAGCTGCTGGTCAGCAACCGCGACCAAGCCTGGAAGGAGGTCACCATCAACATGGCCGCACAGCCGCTGCGGCACAACGGACACCCTGGACCTGCCTGCGCCCTCCAGCGCCGCCACCTCACCCTCGGCCCCGGAGAAGGTCAGGCTTGGGGGATGACCTTGACCCTGACCCTGCCCTTGACCCATGCACTAGCCCTGAGTCTTGACCTGACCCTTCTGTCCTCACCACTGCCACCACAGCCTTGGAGAAGGCCAGGAGAAAGGGGATGACCTTGACCCTGTCCTTAGCCCTGTCCTTGACCCTTGCACTGGCCCTGACCCTTGACTTGGTCCTTCCATCATCCTCCCAGTCAGTGTTGGAGAAGACGGGGAATGACCTTGACCTCAGCCCTGACCCTTGGCCTGGCCTTTCTGTCCACAACACCTCAGCCTCAGAGAAGATGAGAAGTTGGGGAGATATGGCCTTGAAGAAGGTCAGGAGAAAGGAGATGACCTTGACCCTGTCCTTAGCCCTGTCCTTGACCCTTGCACTGGCCTTGACCTTTGACTTGGTCCTTCCATCATCCTCCCAGTCAGTGTTGGAGAAGACGGGGAATGGCCTTGACCTCAGCCCTGACCCTTGGCCTGGCCTTTCTGTCCACAACACCTCAGCCTCAGAGAAGATGAGAAGTTGGGGAGATATGGCCTTGAAGAAGGTCAGGAGAAAGGGGATGACCTTGACCCTGTCCTTAGCCCTGTCCATGACCCTTGGACTGGCCCTGATCCTTGTCTTGGTCCTTCCATCATCCCCCCCACTCAGTGTGGGATGTTGGAGAAGACGGGGAATGACCTTGACCTCAGCCCTGACCCTTGGCCTGGCCTTTCTGTCCACAACACCTCAGCCTCAGAGAAGATGAGAAGTTGGGGAGATATGGCATTGAAGAAGATCAGGAGAAAGGGGATGACCTTGACCCTGTCCTTAGCCCTGTCCTTGACCCTTGCACTGGCCCTGACTCTTGACTTGGTCCTTCCATCACCCCCACCCATTTAGTGTTAGAGAAGACGGGGAATGACCTTGACCTCAGCCCTGACCCTTCGTGTAGCCTTTCTGTCCACAACACCTCAGCCTAAGAGAAGATGAGAAGTTGGGGAGATATGGCCTTGAAGTAGGTCAGGAGAAAGGGGATGACCTTGACCCTGTCCTTAGCCCTGTCCTTGACCCTTGCACTGGCCCTGACCCATGACTTGGTCCTTCCATCACCCCCCCATTCAGTGTTGGATGTTGGAGAAGACGGGGAATGACCTTGACCTCAGCCCTGACCCTTGGCCTGGCCTTTCTGTCCACAACACCTCAGCCTCAGAGAAGATGAGAAGTTGGGGAGAGATGACCTTGACCCTGTCCCTGACCCTTGACCTGGCTTTCCATCCCCACCACCTCCACCTTGGCCTTGGAGAAGGGCAAGGGAAGGGGCTGGGATGACCTTGACTCGGTTCCTGACCCTTGACCTGGCCCTTCCATCCCCCCACCACCTTGACTTCGGAGAAGAAGAGGATGACCTTGACCCCAGCCCTGACCCTTGACCTGGCCCTTCTGTCCCCATCACTCAGCCTCAGAGAAGATCAGGAGTGGGGGAGGGATGACCCTGTCCTTGACCCTTGACCTGGCCCTCCCACCCTTCCACCACCACCTTTGCCTTGGATAAGGGCAAGGGAAGGGGCTGGGATGACCTTGACCCCAGCCCTGACCCTTGACCTGACCCTTCTGTCCCCATATCCTCAGCCTCAGAGAAGATCAGGAGTGAGGGAGGGATGACCCTGTCCTTGACCCTTGACCTGGCCCTCCCACCCTCCCACCACCACCTTTGCCTTGGATAAGGGCAAGGGAAGGGGCTGGGATGACCTTGACCCCAGCCCTGACACTTGACCTGGCACTTCCATGCCCCCACCACCTTGACCTTGGAGAAGAAGGGGATGACCTTGACCCCAGCCCTGACCCTTGACCTGGACCTTCTATCCCCATCACCTCAGCCTCAGAGAAGATCAGGAGTGGGGGAGGGATGACCCTGTCCTTGACCCTTGACCTGGCCCTCCCACCCTTCCACCACCACCTTTGCCTTGGATAAGGGCAAGGGAAGGGGCTGGGATGACCTTGACCCCAGCCCTGACCCTTGACCTGTTTTTGCCCTGGTCCTTGACCCTTGCACTGCCCCTTACTCTTGGCCCAGCCCTTCCATCCCTCCTACTACCACCTTGGTGAAGGGGGATGACCTTGACCCCATCCCTGACCCTTGATCTGGCCCTTCCATCCCCACCACTTCAGCCTCAGAGAAGGTCAGGAGTGGGGGAGGGATGACCTTGCCCTGTCCTTGACCCTTGCACTAACCGTGACCCTTGACTGGTTCTTCCGGACACAGAGAAGGTCAAGGGAAGAGGATCAGAATGATCTTGACCCTTGCCTTGACCCTTCCCCCTCACCCACGGCTCTCTCCCCGCACGGTCTCTCTGCAGAGAAGGAGCTGGCGTGGCGGATCCCCTTCGAGCACTACGGCCCCGTCCTGTCCGAAGGCCGGCAGCTGCGCATCTCGGCGGTGGCCGAAGAAGGCTCCTCGTGGCACAAGGCCCTGGCCGAGAAGACCGTCACCGTCGCTACCTCCGCCCTCCGTGTCAAGGTAGGGGGGTGCACACCTTGGGAAAGGGATAGGAGGGGAGGGAGGGGCCCTTCAGAGGGGGGAAAGGATGCCTGTTGGAAATGTTCGTGCTAAAAGACGTGTGACCAAAGTATAAACTAATCCATTTGAATCAGTTTGACCTTCCACTTAAAGCACAACATTAGCAGAGTAAAAAACACAACAGATGGGCCAGAGGATAGCTTACTATCTGAAACAGAGAACAGAACAGGCAGAACATGGCCCTATAGCCCGAAAAAACCCACAAGAACCTAGTGATTCCAGCCATGAAAGCCTTCGACAATACATACAACAGGCAGAGTTTCAAAGCTTACTTAATGATTGGATCACAGCACCCTCTTTTAACATGCAAAGGAATATATTTTCAGTATGCAAGAAAACAAAAGAAAACCACATCAAAGGTTTGATGTTGTAGTAGTAGTAGTAGTAGTAGTAGTAGTAGTAGTAATAATATGTAAACTCTGCAAGGAAGCAGATGAAACTATAGATCCCATCCTCAGCTGCTGCAAGAAGATCGCGCAGACAGACTACAAGCAGAGGCACAACACCATTGCTCAGATGATTCATTGGAAATAATAATAATAATAATAATAATAATAATAATAATAACAATAATAACATAAGCAGAGGCATAACACCAGATGATTCATTGGAAATAATAATAATAATAATAATAATAATAATAATAATAACAACAACAATAACAATAACAATAATAACATAAGCAGAGGCATAACACCGTTGCTCAGATGATTCATTGGAAATAATAAACAACAGTTTAAAACTCAGACCAACGCCCAATGACCTGTGGTGACTGTTCTGGTACAGCTGTACTAGGAGCTCCAAATTTATTTGCTTTGTATTAAATGTTTGCTTGCAGCCCTGGGTTTCAGGGACTCTGCAGATAGGTGGCTTCTTTTGGTTGCAGTCATAGGGCAAGTCACCTGTCCATCATCGTTAAGTTTGGTCCCGCCCCTTGCTCAGGGCAATTGGGAAGGGAAGGGAGGTATTTTTAGTTAGTCTCAGCAAGGAGAGCTAATGTACAGGACGTGTGCAAGCTTCCCCTGTACAAAAGCTTCAACCCTTACGACTTTCCGGGGGGAAACAGTCTTAAGAGTCTCCAAAGATTTCCAGGGAAACAGCCCTAAAGACCAAAGAACTCCAGCTGGAGAACATCTAAGCCTTTACTGGTAGGTCCACTTGGCGTTCGAGAAGCAGTTCGACCCGGTAGCGGAGCCCACATCAGTAAGGGTTAGATTACAGTCAGCCTGGGAGAAGTTGAAAAGGGGGTTTTCCATTTAAAGTAAAGAAGAAGTTATTTTTTTAATATAGTTTTATTAAGTATATTTCAATGTATACAAAATGTAAGGAAAAGAGTTATACATTCTAAAACAGCGGGGTGTGATTATGGCAAGGCTAGGGAAGGAAAGAGGGGAAGGGAAGAGCAAGAAGAAGGGTTTGGGGATGGGGAAGACCCTATTGGGGAACACTAAGACTGGGGGGCATGCAGGAACAAGTTTAGGGTAAATGGGGTGGGTCTGGGTATTAAGGGAGAGGTGGGGGGGGAGGTGACCATATGGGGGGAGTTTTGACTTCCGTGTCTTCTTTCTCCACGTCTTTAACTTTTTAGGTTTCTTAAAAGGATTCTTCATGTGGTTTCTCCCTTCTGTTCCTATTTTTAATTTCCTTTCCGATTCTTCTCATCTCTCTCTAAAGCTGCTTCTTTCCCATGAATTCGTCAAAAGGCTTCCAATCAGTTCTCTTTAGTGGGCGTCCATGCGAGTCTTTCAACGCATAGGTCAAAAGGTCCATTTGTCTTATTTCATATACTTTTTCTAGCCATTCTTCTCTTGTTGGAGCTTGGCTCGATTTCCAATATCTAGCGAACACTATTCTCACTGCCGCCGTTAGATAGTAGAATATCGCTGTTTGTCTCTAATTCCCATTCTTCCTCGAAAATTCCCAGCAGGTAGTATTCCGATTTTTTCTGTATCTTTATTTTTAGTATCATCTCGCAGGCTTCATTTATCTTTTTCCAAAAAGATTGAGCTATAGGACAGGTCCACCATTGATGAAAGAATGTTCCCACTTGCTCTTCGCACTTCCAGCATTTGTTGTTGGTATTTTTGTACATGAGTCCTAGCTTCTGGGGTGTCATGTACTATCTATGGAACATAGAATCATAGAATCAAAGAGTTGGAAGAGACCTCATGGGCCATCCAGTCCAACCCCCTGCCAAGAAGCAGGAATATTGCATTCAAATCACCCCTGACAGATGGCCATCCAGCCTCTGCTTATACTAATTCTCCTTTAGTTCCGTAGAATAAGTGTATTTGATCTTCTTGGACCAGATTATTGAAGACAGTTGCCTGTCCTTCGTGGGCAAGTTTAGGAAGCTACCAGTTGCATAAAAGCCTGGAATCGTTTGTTTAACTTTCTGAAGACAAGAGAAGTTTCTGTTTGATTGTTCATTAATAAAAGACTTTGTTGTACTTCACAAGCCATCTAAAGGTCATTTGTGGTGGAAAACCTCTGAGAACTTCTCCTTGGGGCCCCTGGCTTCCTGCTGGGCAAAGGTTGCACGTCCTGTCTTAAAGGAAATGTTTCCTGGAGGGTCGATCCCAGTTGGTGAAGCTGGGAGACGCCTGCTCGGACCCCTGGCCCTTGACCTGTGGGGTCCCGCAAGGCTCTATTCTTTCTCCCATGCTTTTTAACATCTACATGAAACTGCTGGGAGAGGTCATCCGGAGTTTTGGAGTTAGGTGCCACCTCTACGCAGATGACACATAACTCTACTACTCTTTTCCACCTAATTCCAAGGAGAAATACTCTTTTCCACCTAATACGCAAGAAAAGGAACTCTCTGCCCCGGAGTGTGGTGGAGGCTCCTTCTTTGGAGCCTTTGAAACAGAGGCTGGATGGCCATCTGTCAGGGGTGATTTGAATGCAATATTCCTGCTTCTTGGCAGAATGGGCTTGGACTGGATGGCCCAGGAGGTCTCTTCCAACTCTTTGATTCTATGATTCTATGATTCTAAGACATGGCCATAAGACATGTAAACAAGACAAGGGAATGGGATCGTGCAAACTGTAGCCAAGGAGCAGGGCATGGGATGCCTGGCTCGAGAGCAGTACGTGTGAAAAGGATCTTGGAGTCCTCGTGGACAACAAGTTAAACATGANCCCCCCCCCCTTCTATCTTACCCACCCAGTTACTGTATGTTTTTATGGAAAAATTAATAAAGATTATTTTAAACGAGAAAAACAAAAGAAATATCCACTATGATGGGCAGTGAACCATTGCATTGAACACATTGTGTTTATTTATTTTGCCACAATTTTCTATTTATTACTGATTATTTATTTATTTATTTATTTATTTAATACACTTGTATACCGCTAATATCTCAGCCTAAATCGGCGACTCATTGCGGTTTACAGCAATTAAAAGCAATGTACAATTTAAAACAACAACACGTAAACAATACAAATTATTGGGCCACCAATAATAATACCATGCTTCTTGTCACAAAAATCACAGTCCAGAGTTCGTCATCCATAATTAACCAGTCCTTAGTCTATAAATTCAATAGTAACAAACTAATTGAATGCTTGTTTACACAACCATGTTTTTAATCTCTTCCGAAAGACCATCAGCGAAGAGGCTGATCGTATCTCTATAGGGAGGGTGTTCCAAAGCCGAGGGGCCACCACAGAGAAGGCCCTGTCTCTCGTTCCCGCCAGCCGCACTTGGGAAGCCGGTGGGATAGAGAGCAGGGACTCTCCAGAAGATCTTAGGGTCCTGGTGGGCTGATAGTTTAATTGATTAATCAATTAATTCATTTTTTTTATAAATTCATATAACTATCCACTCAATTGAATCAAAGTTCTGAATTTGACTAATTCACAGGAGTAAAATAGACACCAAGAAAGTGAAAAAAATGTAATACAAATGTCTGGTTGCTCCTGACATGACAAATAAATAAACGGTTTCCTCACTTGTGCAGAGCCACAAGGGCCGAGCGGTTCTGGAGCTGATGCAGCCCAAAGAGCAGGGAGAAGCGCCGCGCCAGGTCCCGGATCTCCTGGAAGGCCTCCGACTCCATGCCTGCGGGCCCTTTTTCCAGGAGCAGCTCGGTCAGCAGCTGACAGAAGAGGAGAAAGTGGGTTCCTCATTGGCCGCCAGCCAGGCACCCCTCCCTCGCCCCATGCCAATTCCCTCCCAAATACCTGCTGCAGGCTGAGGAGCAGGGTCTGCGCCCACTCTGTCCGGTCGATCTGGCGGGCCCGATTCAGCGTCTCCTTGATGATGTCCCCATAGTCATTGTAGTACTGGACCGGCAAAAGAGCCGAGAGTCAGGCGGAGGTCAGCGCCGCCACCTCCTCCTCCTTTGCAGCCTGAAGCCACATGGGGCTCTGATGCCTAGGGCCGTGATGGCGAACCTATGACACGCGTAGCCATTTGTACTGACACGCGCCTGCCAGATAT